GATTAATAGACAAAGGGTCGTCTGAACGGAGACTCACCTCACTTATTTACAAACCAACAAACGAAGAAGACAGGCAGTTCTGCGCCGACTAGAGAGTTAGATAGAGGATGCATAGGGACTGGAATTACCTGTATGAGGTGTTCTGCCAAGAGGGACGATTCCTTAGCCATGAGGACAGAATCCGGTTTTCACGGATATATGTAGGTAGAGAATATTGACAGGTACAGTATTTAGTGGATAGCTGGACGGTGGAGGAGATTGTAGATGGATACCGGCAAAGAAGAGGATACAAATGGACCAGTTGTGAAATGCAGCTGGATGCTGTTGGATGTAGGTGGATGGTGAAGAAGTGAAGTTGATTGTTGACGATGGTTGTTTGGTTGTTTGGTTGTTGTTTGGCGGATAAATATTTCAAGAGCTGACGTTATTTGGTGGAAGGACAAGGAAACGTCAGAACCCGAAGAGATGCTAGCAAAGCAAGTTTTGGGTTCTTTGGCTACTGGGGGGGGGGAATATGAGGGTGGAAGGCGATCAACAATACAATATCTCTAGATATCCCTTCTCTTCTACATTCCCCTTGGCTGCAAGGGCTCAATTAGTTTAAAATTACTTCTGCTATGGGTTTGTTGTTCAGCTCCGATGCTCTCTCTACTGGCACCCACAGATACCACCTGTGTAGTTATTAGTCATGTTTGCAACAAATACAAACATACTTTCGTCACATGACTCTAGATCTACACCTCTCACGTGATTCTGCACCGTCCCAAGGTTCCCCGTCGGATGGTTTTTGTGGGATGGTTGAATCTCTCATATTGGGAGGCCCTAGCTAGCTATCTAATATACGCTATATCACGTGCGGCGGGGCGGCAGCCCGGGCCACATACGCCCAACAGTGTTGATCTTCGATATACGCCTGATCACGTGCAGGGCGGGCCGCCCGGGGCAACGGCCAATCCGTGCACTGCCGGCGTGTTTTCGTACTGCCAAGACAGAGCCGCATCTCCCGCGTTCTTCCGAATTCGGAGACGTTGGGGACCCAAAGGAAGAACAGAATCCTGAAAGCAGCAGAGAGCAGAAATTCTAGTGCCTTCTCTGAGGATTGCGGGCTTCGGTTTCGCTGCCTGCGGATGTACTGTTGGTGGGGAGAAGCCCTGGAGGTTGGGGACGACGGGTGGGAAGTGGGTGTGGATTGGGTACTAATGGATGGGCAATCCCAGGTTTTTGTTTACAGTGTAGTTAGTCGTTTCATACAATTAATAACAACAAACAGGGAAAGAAGGCAGATAGATGGTTATAGTTCCAACAAAACACCAGCCCTCCCTATATTTTCTACCACCTTCTCCCCTCCTTCAATTCCTCTCAACTACAACCTCACACCTCCACTTCTCAAGACAACAAAGGTTCAACTCCAATTGACTTTGGATTGCAAGTAAGTGTTGCCTCTTTGCTAGTTCTAGCAGCGTGTTCCTTTAAATACCCCGCCACTGGGCTCCCGATGTCGTTGATGTATTCCCGCTACAACCAATATTGATGGCAGACCCAGCTGCCATTTGATGGCTTCGAGAAGCCAATCGTCATCTATATGATTGTGCTGGATAACAGTCGTTTCTGACATCCATTGGACTCGAATTTTTAGTCCTGCTATTCTTGTTCTTTCGATCCCGTGCCGCTTTGTCCGTTTTGAGCTTTCCGGTGAGCGGATGGAGAGCGGCTACGCACCTTACACCCAACTCTGATATTCTCAATTCATTCAATTCTCACCCTCTATTCTATTGTAACACTATTCATACTAACTAACCTACCTGCTCAATTCTTGGATAGAAATGGCGATCACCAAAATCCACGCCCGCTCCGTTTATGATTCTCGCGGTAACCCCACCGTTGAGGTTGATGTCGTAACCGAGACTGGGCTTCATCGTGCCATTGTCCCATCCGGTGCTTCTACCGGTATATATAACTCTCCCGTACCATGGTGTCTAAAAGGTCTTTGGGCACTGGGAATCACTGACGGAATATTTGACAGGTCAGCATGAGGCATGTGAACTCCGTGACGGCGACAAGTCAAAGTGGCTCGGAAAGGGTACGCAGTTTAAAAACCACCAATCCCACAATTTCCCTCACGAATTTGCCTAGCTAGCTATTGACAGGTGTTTGTTGAATAGGTGTGTTGAACGCAGTCAAGAACGTCAACAGCATCATTGGCCCCGCCATCATTAAGGAGAACATCGACGTCAAGGACCAGTCCAAGGTTGATGAGTTTCTGAACAAGCTTGACGGAACCCCCAACAAATCCAAGTTGGGTGCCAACGCCATCCTCGGTGTCAGTCTGGCCATTGCCAAGGCCGGTGCTGCCGAAAAAGGTGTCCCCCTCTACGCTCACGTTTCCGACCTCGCTGGCACCAAGAAGCCATATGTCCTCCCCGTTCCATTTCAGAATGTGCTCAATGGCGGTTCCCATGCAGGTGGCCGTCTGGCCTTCCAGGAATTCATGATTGTCCCAACGTATGAACCCTTATTAGGAGAATAGCATTAGTAAGAACCATCCAGGCTAATTCTCCCAACAGCGCTGCCCCGTCCTTCTCCGAGGCCCTCCGCCAAGGCTCAGAAGTCTATCACAAACTGAAAGCCCTCGCCAAGAAGAAGTACGGCCAATCTGCCGGCAATGTCGGTGATGAGGGTGGTGTTGCCCCCGACATCCAAACTCCCGAAGAAGCCTTGGACCTGATTACCGAAGCCATCGAGCAGGCTGGGTACACGGGCCAGGTCAAGATTGCTCTTGACATTGCCTCGAGCGAATTCTACAAGGCCGATGAGAAGAAATACGATCTCGACTTCAAGAATCCAGATAGCGATAAAAGCAAGTGGCTCACGTATGAGCAGTTGGCAGATCTGTATAAGAAGCTTGCCAGCAAGTATGCTATTGTCAGCATTGAAGATCCATTCGCTGAAGATGACTGGGAGGCTTGGAGCTATTACTTCAAAACCTGTGATTTGCAGGTTGTCGCGTATGTCTTTTCAATCCTTTCAATACATAAGTTGTTTGCAAAAACGGAAGAAAGAGAATAAAAACACTAACACGCTCCCCATCCCAGCGATGATCTTACCGTCACCAACCCCATCCGCATCAAGAAAGCCATCGAGCTTAAATCCTGCAACGCCCTGCTCCTCAAAGTCAACCAAATAGGCACCCTCACTGAATCCATCCAGGCAGCCAAGGACTCCTACGCTGCCGGCTGGGGCGTGATGGTCTCCCACCGCTCCGGCGAGACGGAGGATGTCACCATCGCCGATGTCGTTGTGGGATTGAGAGCTGGACAGATTAAGACGGGTGCACCTGCGCGCTCAGAACGGTTGGCCAAGCTCAATCAGATCTTGAGAATTGAGGAGGAGTTGGGGAGCAATGCGGTTTATGCGGGGGACAAGTTCCGGGCAGCTATTAATATGTAAGGGAGTGGAGATGAGATGAGGTGTGGAGGAAGTAACTATATGATGGGCGAATCAAAAACAAGTGTTAAATAAAACGGAGAAAAATAGGATGGGATGGGAATGGCACAGGGCGCCAGTCGTGGGTCCTGTGCTATTTCTTTTGCCTGGCGGGTGGCAACGATTTTAAAATTAAAGAAATAAATAAATAAATAAGGGGTGGATACGCAATGGAATAGTGAAAATGGGGAATATGTGAAGTTGAAACGCAAATAGTAGGGACATGGGATATCAAGGTGCATCCATCTCCAGTCACCTCCAACATCAAGGGGGGAACAATCCGATGCCCAAATCTTGGCGGCGGCTAACCATAACTATAATAGTTGTCATATTTAACCCATGGACTATGTCCATGAAAAGTTCGTAGGATATGATCAGCTCCACTAGATGTTGGAAGTTGAACTGGATTCAACTCATCAACTCTCTGTCCCTGGAGACAACAGACCCTGCCCGGGGCATCTCGCTTTCAATGATTGAAGATACAGATAAATAAGCATTTAAGAGACTAGCTGCACTTTTGCTTTCAACAAGGCAACGCGTTGATTCTCCTCTCGCAGTTCTCGTTTCTCCTGTTTCAACTCACGTGGATTATTACCTGACAAAGGAGCTTGGTGCAGCTTTAAAGTTTTTATTTTATATATATATTCTTACAACATTTCCTCCCGTGTCCGGCTGAATGCCCCATGGCTCGTCTACCCCTTTGCGAAGACACTGGCCATTGTTTCTCAGATTTCTCCAAGATATAAAAATATACCAGCTCATGGTCCGGAAACATATGTTAAACTTTGATGATGCTGACCGGGCATTGAAGACCATCCGAAGGATTGCACAACACCACAAATCCAACAGTCAATAATTGTTTCATAACAGACGTCGCCCTCAGTCACATCCAAACAAATGACATGTTGCCGCGCTCTTGTTCGACTTGCAGTATGACCCATCGCCTATTCAAGAACAACTGTAGACGAAGATTTATTTTTCTGAGTAGAACTATGTCTCACCAATGTAAAAAGCCTCCTCTATTTGAATTCACACACGGACCGTGAAGCACGTAATGAACAGCTCATCTCCCATTCCACAGCAAATTGAGATGAGAGGGACAATTCCCGCAGATTCCCTGCAGGAGATTCATTCAAAGAGTTCGGGGTGGGAAGAGGCAAATGGACGATATCGATGTGGATTCTTATACCCCGGCTCCGTCGGACGATTGACAATTTCCACCCTCTCCGGATACCTAGGTATGGCATGCAGAGGCACCCTTCTGACCCTAGGATATGCAGGAATATGTACAGAACTACATTAAAAAATGTAAATATACATACATACATACATACATATATATATATATATGTTGACCCGAGACTGGTCACCCGGATAATTGCATAGCCATGCCAGTTGTCGCTCATACTCAATGCTGAAAGGATGATGAGGTGATTGACTGGGCTGGTTGTGGGGGATTTGCACAAGCTGATAGCGGCCAAAGTTATTTCTCCGGTGAAGGCCAGGGATGATAGAGGGAACCAAGCGCCAGTATCACCGTTGTCAGTGTGTCTCTGTTCTTCCCCTCTTCTGTTTACCTTTTTGATTAGTTGAAGGCATGAGCCGAGACATGAATGTGTGGTGTTGCCACAACTTAGAGAAGCAATAAACGACAGTGAGCACCAGACTGCTGCAATTAATCCAAATAAGCTTATTTGAGAAGTTTCATCCGAAAGAACTGAATTCCTCAGGGCACAGGCACAGGCACAGGCATGGCACACCGAACTACCCACAAGACCCAGCGACATCCGCAGTTATTTATATATGCACTTTGGAACTCGTTCATGTTAAACCTCCCCCAACCAAACAGCCAAACCCGCCCGATTCCCAAACAGGATTAGCTTCCCGCCTCGGGTTCCCCGGCACGTGATTCCCCCTTTTCTGCCTGGTTGCGCCCAATTATTAAGGACCCGCAGCATCGGGGCTTGTTTGGGCGCCCAAACAACCAGAAGAGAAAAAAAAAAAAAAAAAATTGGACATCAGATGCTGCAGAACAACCAACACAATCATGATTTGTATCATTCACATCCAAAATTAACCACCCATGGCCTATATTTAATTTTCCCCACCAACCCTCCCTTGTTACGTGTTCTTTCAGATCCGCAGATTGCTAACTCGCCATCGGTTTAACCGGCCACACAAAGTTCTCTTGCCCACGCTCGATTTTCAGTAGGCCATGGCGCCGTCAAAGTGGGGTAAGTCTGCATCAATCGCGAACCCCTCCAACCTTCCAGGTGCCGCCATACCTACCTGGCAGCATAGCATGCTCTACGCCTGAGTTTTAATTGCTTTATGTTTTCCTCAAAATTGCGGTCAGGCATTGCATACCATGGTAGCTTGCTAGGTTATAGTGAATATATCAAGATATATATGTACATACACATAGATGTACCTGTGCAGCTTCGAGGGCTAACTTTTCCCGCCTTGGTTGATTTTTTTTTTTTTTTTTTTTAAAAACAGATGATCAAGAGGAGAGCACCCCGCCCTCTTCCCCACCTTTATCTGCTGCTATACCTATAGCCCAGAGACGAAAATTCGATGACGAAGAGGATAGCGACAATGTAAGCATCAGCTCTATTCATCGCCCCAAGGATATCTAGTTTTGACGGTGCATAAGAGCTCCTGTGTCGATGATGAAAATGCTAATCACCACATTTCCAAACCGCAGGTCGTAGATGATTGGGAAGCTGCCGAAGACTCCGAAGTAGAGCGTGAAAAAGCCGCCAAAGCAGCTGCCGAAAAAGCCAAAGCAGAGGCCGAAGCCGCCGCCAAGAAAAAATCCCGGGCCCAGCGCATACAGGAACGTCGAGAACAACGACGGCTGGAAGAGGTCGAAGAGGACGATGACAGCGAGGACGACGACCCCGCTACCCAACGCGCCCGTCTCCGCCGTACAGAGAAGGACGCAGATCTCAAACACGCCGAAGACCTAATCGCCGACATCGACCTGAACCGCTCCCTCAACCGCTCCGCCCCAAAAGCAACAGTAATCCAACTCTCCGACACCGGCGATAACAACGATCCCACCCAACGAGCCATAGACCTCTCCTCCATCCCGCTCTTCAGACCCGCTACAAAGGCGCAGTTCACGGAATTAACAGAAGCGCTTATACCGCTGCTGACAGCACAGTCGAAGAAGCCTCAGTATGCGCTGTGGGTGCAGGATTTCACGAAAAAGTTGGTGAAGGAGTTGGGGAGTGGGGATATTAAGAAGGTTGCGTCTGTGTTGACGGCGGCGAGCAACGAGAAGTTGAAGGAGGAGAAGGCGGCGGAGAAGGGAGGGAAAAAGAGCAAGGCGGCTAAGACGAAGACGAGCGTTGTTGTTGGGAGGGACATGGGGGTTGGTGGGAAGGCGGATATTACGGCGTACGACGGGGATGACTTGGATGACGATGATTTTATGTGATGCCCTGAGTGTTGGCTGGGGTGGTTTGGTGAACCAACTAATTGGTGAGGGAGATGGTGTTTGTCATTTGAGATTCCTCCTGCTTTTTGTTTTTCTATGCTTTTTTTCACTTCCCCTTTTATTTTACCCCTGGAAGTATTAGAGATCTAACCAGCCACCGCTTCTGTGCTTCCTTTTACAAGCCTCAGACCATTTTCTTGTCTTCTCCTATTTAAATAAATTTCTTTCCTTCTGTTCATGTATTTCCTCTATTTATTCCCCCCCGCCCCCCCCCCCCCCCGCCCCCCCACTCTCCTCCCCTTTCCCTTCCTCTCTCATTATATCTTACCTTTTTGTTTGAGTATCTGTTTAATGTCTGCATTTCAGCCCTATTCCCCCTCTCTCCATCTGTTGTGTCCGTATAAATTGCTCTTCATCAACATGGCATAGAATGCATACGCATTTTGCTTTAGCCCCATTAATTAGCTTTCTTCATTGATTTGTCAGTTGATACTTCTTGTTTATATGCAAATAATAAAATAAGGCAGTAGAGATTATTGAATTGGTTTCCTGCGAGTTCTCATTTAAATATATATATGTATATTGGAACAAGCACGCTGCTCATTGTAAACACCTCCACAAGCAAACCATCCCATACGTTGCCGGATTTCTATTCCCACTTCATTCCGCCCCGATCCACTCACGCAGGAGACATTTAACTAACTTCGATCGGGCTGGAAATAAGTTTTAATGCAACCTTGCTCTTTTGCCTCGACTTCATATTTCTACCTTCGATCCAATATTGCTTCCCTGCAGAGAATGTGATGTATCGATCGTTCGAATACTGGATGGGGGCACTCCACTCCGTAGGGGACGAAGGGGCGGAGAGAAAGATTTCCGGTCAAGGGATATGAGATTGCGATCCTCTGGGCACGTCCCATCATGGTCCTTGCAAGGTTAGCATTTGTCTACTTTCTTAGATTCTTCCCTCCTTGTTCACATCCAGCTATGGTTGCTGGGGAAGGGGATGGGGAGATAGGTCGGTATCCGCAAATGAAGTTCCTGACTTTCCCGTTGTATATCCAATTCTTCTTAAAACTGGTAATGTAAGAATTAACCAGGTACAGGGGCCTTCTTTCACAAGGGGCTAAGAATCCATAAACCGTATCGACAAAGAATGGAATGGTAAATGTCACAACCATTAGCGATATAAGTCCGCTCCAGGCCTTATGTACGTTAATATACAATCCTCCAAAAATATATCGCGTATCTACATTGACGACGGCTATTGACCAGAAACCACAACCACACAACGATCAACGATCGAAAGAAATGTCTCAAACCTTCTTTGTCCAATTGCATGTCACGTGACTGATCCCCAGGTGACCCGTTCAGGATGCAATGGCGTTGCTGCCCGCATGGGATGCCAACGATGGTTGCATAATAGCGGTCTCTTTTTATGCTTGATTTTTTTTTGCGAGTTGATCAGTTTATCCAGCCCCTTGAACGGACTTCTCATTTTTACCTCATTGTTTGATTCCCGTTGATCCTGGTGTATAGGTAGATAGGATATATTTTCTCTTTCGTTGGGAGTCGGTTATTTTTGTCAATCAAGGCGCCAGAGATACGTCATTTCGTTTAGTGTAACCCGGCATTGAAATAATGACGGGGTAGGGATTTTTTTTGACATTGGGGAAACTGGGAGTTGTTATTGGTAAACTTGTGCGTACGGCAACTTGTATATAGGATCGAAAGTGTGAGTGTGTGGTTGTAGTGAATGCGAACAGGGCGTTGGGGCTGGTTGGTAGGGGCAAATGAGGAGAAAACAGAAAAGTATGTAGCAATTGGGGTAATACTTGTGTAAGTAGGTGACGGATGCAGAACATATGAACCGTCTGACGGATATGGGGAAGTGAAATACGTAGTATTCCACATCTCATCTCCTCATATATAACATTGCTGTTTGATGATCTGGATCCCTGCTAACTAGTTAAGGGAACGCCTTAAGGGGGGATCCGATTAGTCAGCCATCACAAGTCACACTGTCCGCTCTTTCTCCCAACTTCTGCCATCATCCAACATCCTCCAACTTCATCCTCATCCTTACACCCGTCACACTTCACTCTTCCCCCCCTTCCACCAGGCCTTTTTTGTTCCTCTTCGTCTTCCTCTCTTGCATCACTCCGCTTCTTCCACTCCCACGCTGTTTAGATCCTACCATCCCACACCGTCTCCCGTTCTCTCCTTCTGCTACCATGACTTCAGAAGTATGTTTATCCTTCCGTGCCCTTGCTCTGCCTCTAGGCGCGCAACGACATGGTGTCAAACAATATTGTCCTTCCCCCTATCCACTCTTCTGGTGTTTGTCGTGCTAACTACAATCTCTCATATAGCGTGAAAGGTAAATTTGTCCGTATGCAGTGAGTGTTGTGGGCGTGTGTACTGACCGCTCTGCGAACTGTAGCAAGACGTTTCTCGCCAGGCTCTGCGAGCAGGCTGAACGCTACGATGGTGAGACCTCCTTCCCCTCTCTATCTTCCCTAAGGCAACCCCCCCCTTGTTTCTTGCACTATCTAACCGCGTCATATAGAAATGGTTACATACATGAAGGTGGGTACTGCTGCTTGTGTGTGAAGGTTAACATCCCATCAACCCGTTTGCTAACACGACCTTTTGATGACGCCTTGTAGGAAGTTGCCAATGTAAGTCCATCAGATATTCTACCACTAACTCCCTTTACCCCTCCTTTCCAATATCTAACCGAACATGAACCATGACAGTTGGGAGGCGAACTCACCGTCGACGAACGCAATCTTCTCTCTGTTGCATACAAAAACGTCGTTGGTACCCGTCGTGCTTCTTGGCGCATTATCTCCTCCATCGAGCAGAAGGAGGACTCCAAGGGCTCCGAGAAGCATGTTGCTATCATTAGCGAGTACCGCCAGAAGATCGAAACTGAGCTCGAGCGCGTCTGCCAGGATGTTCTTGATGTTCTGGACCAGTCTTTGATTCCCAAGGCGGAGTCTGGTGAATCCAAGGTTTTCTACCACAAGATGTATGTGTTGGGATTCTATGGAGTTGCTTACTAGTGTCTTTAGTTCGCTACACGCGACATTTCTTAGAAGAACTGTACTGATATACGCCACAGGAAGGGGGACTATCACCGTTATCTCGCTGAGTTTGCTTCAGGTAACAAGCGCAAAGTTGCCGCCACTGCCGCCCACGAGGCTTACAAGGTTAACACCCCCTTCCCCAACACACACACACACACACACACACACACAAAATTATTTATAGAAGTCTTGTTGAACAACACTAACATCTCCCAGAACGCCACCGACGTCGCCCAAACTGAGCTGACACCAACCCACCCAATCCGTCTCGGACTCGCCCTCAACTTCTCAGTCTTCTATTACGAGATCCTCAACTCTCCTGATCGCGCTTGCCACCTGGCTAAGCAGGCATTCGATGATGCTATTGCTGAACTCGACTCGCTCTCTGAAGAGTCTTACCGCGATAGCACGTTGATCATGCAGCTGCTGCGAGACAACTTGACGTTGTGGACATCGTCGGATGGCGCAGAACCTGAGCCAGCGGCTGCTGGTGATGGAAAGGATGATAAGACGGCTGAGGGTGAGGAAGGATCGGCGACTGCGACTACTGCTGATCCCCCTGCTCCTGAGGAGATGGCTGCACCAGCTGCTGCAGATGAGGAGCCAAAAAAGGAGGGTACAACGGAGTCTTAAAGTTTGGGATTAAAAAAGATTTATTTTAAAATGTTTTCTATTCCCTGCTTATGATTCCTGCTTGCTCCTAAGGTTGTGTGTGTGCGAGATATACCATTTGTGTGTGAGAGCGGGAGGAAAGGGGAGGAGGGATGTCCCGTGTTGAAAACAAAAAATTAAACCAAACTAACTAACCTAAAGCAAAACAAACACACCCAAAAAATTGTTTTATTTTTTCACATCAAATGGGGACGGGAAAAGCGGAAAAGAAAGCAGAGCGGGCAGAACAAGGGTGATTTGAAAATGGGAATCTGATGTTGTTATATGGCGTGCGGGCTTGGGTTTCTCAGCGGAATGCCTTCTCTCCCAAGGCGTGTGTCTTTGAGCTTTTCACTCGAATAAGGGTTTTTTTTTTCATTGGTACAAGACACCAGACACCAGAGGGGTGGATGGAGTTTGCGATTATTTTTTTCCTTAAATTATTTATTTTGCAAGAGCGATGAGAATGAACGGGTGGCGGGGATATTATTTCTTTTCTTTCTTTTCTTTCAGTCTCCCCCCCCAGTTTTATTTCTTTCACTGATCAAATGTGTGGTGATTGGTGGTCCCTGTCAAGAAAATTCTAACACTCAAGTGTCCAAAGTTCCAGAGAAGCGGGATGGAAAGAGAGAGGGAAAGGGAAAAGATAGCCGTCTTTCAAGTTTTGCGACTCCTTTCTTTTTTGTTCTTCTATGACAATAACATCACCCATTTACCCTGACTACTTGCTTTGCTTTCCTGCTCTCCTGCCTCCGTTTCTAGCGACTTGTCCTCTGCCCATCATGTGTCTCCCCCCAACACTTACCCCGCCCCTCTCCTCCCCGTTCTTTTCTTATCACCATTCGTGTTTCCCATTCCAATTCCCCAAGCCATGCCATTCCCCCATATGTGTTCCATCCCCCCACAGGTTTTTATATCGTATTTCATTTCTGCTACAATGGTTTCCCTGTTCTTGTTCAACCCTTCCCCTGCGCGCCTCCCTCTGCAGCTACGTCTACCCATTGTACCTGCTATTAAAACACCTCTCATTTGTTCCAACTATTCCCGCTGTCCTCATTCCCAACCATGCTGGCAGTTACGTACGGTTTTACACTCCCCAGTATTTCCTCTTAAAACCCTACATAGGTTTTTAGTTGCGTCTGTTATCGATGATCAATGATAATAATGCTCGATATCAATTATTACCTAATTTTTAGTTTAGAGTAGTTTTATACTTATTTGCTCGCCTATAGATGAAGGGCGGCTTGGGGGAATATATGCATATGCATATGCTGTGTTTCTAGTTCCAGTTATAATTCTCGTGCTTCTTATCCATTCGCATTGTTGAATCTGTGCACTGCGTTTTAAATTCCGGCTGTTGATATGCTGATATGTCCTGCTTGCTCAGCAGGAGAAGGCTGAGCTGACTTGTGTTGAGGCAGTTAGGTTTTCTTCTCCTTTTCAACTATTTATTCTCTTGACGAGAAGGAAGTAAGAGAGGAGAAGGATGCGGAGACGAAGTGAGAGGAGGAAGATGTCAAGTGACGAAGAGGTTAGTATGGAGTATATTCATACCAAATTGATCAGCTATATATATCAACATATAGTAGTTCGTGTATGTGCTCTGGGTGAAAGGGCGTTCGGAATGGAGGGTTGGAATAAATTGGGTGTGCTATTATCAGATACCAGGTACTATACTATATTAATATTTCATTTTTGCTCCTTTCTAAAAATAACATTTTATATTCCAAAGTGGTGGTTTTGTTCGTAGGTTAAAAATATGGATACGAGATAGTAACCCGAAACTATCAAATACGGGTTTCTTCCTTCTAAGAAACAAGAGAAACGTCACGTGGCGGTAGGCTGCGACACAATGCGCTGTGATTGGGTGGGTTTTCTACGATACGATACCGTACGTGACCGGTATGATACTTCTCTCTTCCAAAATGTTCTAGAAGCGCGGTAACTTCCGAAAATTACTTCCCCTATGAAAAGACCACGTTTACGGTTTTCGGTTTAGTAAGCTATGACATAATAATAACGCAAAACCAACCTCCTGCTTCGATTCTTAGCAGTTCACGGAGATCAAACAGAGACAATACAATGTCCATATCTGGTTGAGATATATGCTTGCAATACGGCTACCTGGAGTGGAATTGGCATTGAGCTGTTGGGAGGGAATTTGAGGTAAACTATTGCTTATCGAAGCATTGAAGCTGCTGCAGGTTCCCAGCATCGGTACTTGTTGTTGGCGGTGGTTTTTGACTGTGCGAACTCGGGTATCTTTTCCACTACTACCACACACTGTACACCACTGAACCCCGAGCCAGCTTGAAGGGCAATAGCAGGAGAAGAAAAGAACGAGAAGGGGAGAGAAGATAAATAAAAAGGAAGAAGAAACTGTTCGTCAATAACGGGGATGCGGATGTAGATGTTCCCAGGGTGCTTATTTCTTTTTATTTAACTTCGCGCCACTCCGTACTCCACATTATTCTTCTCTGACTTTTTATTGTTCTCTCTCTCTCTCTTTCTTTTTTTTTCTTTTTTTTTCTTTTTTTTCCCCCCCAGACTTCCAACTGCGCACTCTCTTTTCTCCAGAAGACTTGCTGGGGATACCGAACTCGACCTTCGCATCGGCGATACCTACATTTTTACCCTCTTTAGCCTATATATCCAGTTATCTACGACTACTTCCCAACTTGCGCAGTTAGCTTGGTCGCTTGGTCGCTCGTTCGTTCGGTGGCGCAAACGTTAAAAAGCCAAAGTGGACAGATATACTGTGCCCACCCATTCGTTCATATCTCCTATAGCGATTAAGATTGAAATACTAAGAGAGCGCTTGACCTTAACCTATAGAACGTGAGAAAGGGACAACAAGACAAAGACAGATTACACAAAAGAGAGAAGGAAGGATAAGACTATAAGAGCATTGAAACGGGGTAAGGGTCGAAGGAAAATACAGATAAAAACGCTCATGGAGCGCTCGTATCTCTTTTCGTCGGAAGATGTCCTGGCACATTTCTCCGTGACGGAGGAGGCGGGGTTGTCTAGCGAGCAGGTGCTGAGGTCGAGGGAGGTGTATGGAAGTAACGGTATGTCCATTTTATCTCTTTGCCCATTTAGCGATGATGTGTAGTTTGTTATTGCTAATATACTTTCTGCAGCCCTTCCGGAGGAGCCCCCGACGCCGCTATGGGAACTCGTACTTGAGCAGTTTAAAGATCAACTTGTGCTGATTCTTCTGGGGTCTGCGGTTGTGTCTTTTGTACTGGCTCTAATGGAAGGTGGAGATGATTGGACGGCATTTGTCGACCCAGTGGTTGTAAGTGACAACTCTCCCCTTCTCCATCTATGCTCTTCTACATTTCTGCATGTATCTGACAATACTTTCATATAGATCCTCACTATTCTAATCCTCAACTCCATCGTCGCAGTGTCGCAAGAAACCAGCGCGGAAAAGGCCATCGCTGCACTACAAGAATACTCCGCGAATGAAGCTAAGGTCCTTCGTGACGGACACTTGCAACGCATCAGGGCGGAGGAGCTGGTACCCGGTGATATCGTCAGTGTTGCTGTTGGCGATCGCATCCCTGCCGATTGCCGTCTGCTCTCTATCCAATCCAACAGCTTCCGCGTCGACCAGGCCATCCTGACCGGCGAGAGTCAGAGTGTATCCAAGAGCACGAAGCCTGTCAAGGATGCTGAGGCTGTCAAGCAGGATCAGATCAATATGCTCTTCTCTGGCACAACAGTTGTGACGGGCCATGCGCATGCGATGGTTGTCCTGACTGGTGCCGCGACAGCGATTGGAGATATCCACGAGAGCATCTCGGCGCAGATTTCGGAACCCACGCCGCTTAAGAAGAAGCTGAATGACTTTGGGGATATGTTGGCCAAGGTCATTACGGTGATTTGTGTGCTTGTTTGGCTGATTAATGTGGAGCATTTTAATGACCCCGTACATGGCAGTTGGACGAAAGGGGCGATTTATTATTTGAAGATCGCGGTTTCTCTGGGTGTTGCGGCGATTCCAGAGGGATTGGCTGTTGTTATTACGACATGTTTGGCGCTGGGGACGAGGAAGATGGCTGCTAAGAATGCGGTGGTTAGATTGTTGCCCTCTGTTGAGACGCTGGGGAGTTGTAGTGTCATCTGCTCGGATAAGACGGGAACTCTGACGACGAATCAGATGAGTGTGGAGAAGATTGTGTATCTCAATGAAGCAGGGGATGGTCTGGAGGAGATAAATGTTGAAGGGACCACCTTTGCGCCCAAGGGCAGTTTGAAGAAAAATGGTCGCGAGGTGGAAGATTTGGCCGTTTCATCGTCTACCATACTTCAGATAACCGAGGTTCTGGCTCTCTGTAATGAGGCCCTGTTATCCTACGATCAAAAGACAGGCGCATATTCTAGCATCGGTGAGCCAACTGAAGGCGCTCTTCGCGTGCTAGTTGAGAAAATCGGAACCGATGACCCTGAACTGAATAAGAAGCTCAGACAACAACCTGCGTCAGAGAGACTTCACATGGCCAGCAAACACTACGAACATCGCCTATCCTTACAAGCCTCATACGAATTCTCCAGAGATCGCAAGAGCATGTCCGTCTTGGCTGGCGAGGGTAAGCAACAGAAGCTCCTCGTGAAGGGTGCCCCTGAATCGATCCTGGAACGTTGCTCCCACGCCATCCTTGGCCCCAACGGAACCAGAGTCGCTTTGACGAACCAGCACATCCAGCTTATCTCTCAGGAACTTGTGGACTACGGCAACAGAGGCCTGCGTGTCATCGCCGTCGCCTCCATCGACAATATCGCTCCAAACCCCCTCCTCCACGCCGCGGAAACATCCCAAGAATACGCCCGGCTGGAACAAAACATGACCCTAATCGGCCTTGTGGGCATGCTCGACCCTCCCCGCCCCGAAGTTGCCGCCTCCATCCGAAAATGTCGTGAAGCCGGCATTCGCGTCGTCGTCATAACAGGCGACAACAAAAACACTGCTGAATCCATCTGTCGCCAAATCGGCATTTTCAGCCCAGATGAAAAGGACCTTCGCGGAAAGTCGTTCACGGGCAGGGAATTTGATGCACTGAGCGAAAAGGACAAGATTAAAGCCGCTACAACCGCCTTGCTCTTCTCTCGTACTGAGCCAACGCATAAATCTAAACTGGTCGACATATTACAGTCGCAGGGTCACGTGGTTGCCATGACGGGCGATGGAGTCAATGATGCGCCGGCCCTGAAGAAAGCGGACATTGGCATCGCCATGGGTTCTGGCACGGATGTCGCCAAGTTAGCCGCCGATATGGTTCTAGCTGATGATAACTTCGCCACCATTGAGATTGCAGTTGAGGAAGGAAGGACCATCTACAGCAACACGCAGCAGTTCATTCGATACCTCATCTCCTCGAATATTGGTGAGGTGGTGTCGATTTTCCTCACTGCCGCACTGGGGATGCCGGAGGCGTTGATCCCCGTGCAGTTGCTGTGGGTTAATCTTGTTACGGATGGGCTGCCGGCGACGGCGTTGTCGTTTAACCCACCTGATGGTGATGTGATGAAGAGGCCGCCCAGGAGGAAGGGTGAGGCGCTCGTGGGTGGCTGGTTGTTTTTCAGATATATGGTTATCGGCATATACGTAGGAGTTGCGACTGTGTTCGGGTATGCGTGGTGGTTTATGTTTAATCCTGCAGGGCCCCAGATTTCGTTCTGGCAGCTAGTGAGTTCAATTCCCTTTTAACCCCCTGTTATGAACTTTTTGTTTTTACTGACAAATGAAACAAAACAGACACACTTCCACAAATGCGCCACCCAATTCCCCTCCATAGGCTGCGAAATGTTCACAAACGACATGTCCAAGTCCGCCTCGACAATCTCCCTCTCCATCCTCGTCGTCATCGAAATGCTCAACGCCATGAACTCACTCTCTTCCTCCGAATCCCTCCTCACCTTCCCACTTTGGAATAACATGATGCTCGTCTACGCCGTCATGCTGTCCATGGTGTTGCATTTTGCGATCCTCTACGTGCCGTTTTTGCAAGGATTATTTTCGATTCTGCCGCTTGATAAGCAGGAGTGGATTGCTGTGTTGACTATTTCGTCTCCGGTTATTATTATTGATGAAGCGTTAAAGTTTTTGGAGAGAAGGTTGGTTGAGAAGAGGGCTAGGGTTGATGCGGCTTCGCCGTCATCGCAAGCGCCGACAGGGCAGTATCAGAATGGAGCGGCGAAGGCGAAAGCCGTGTGAGAAGCTGACATGAGGTGAGACAATCGGATGGCGCCGATCATCTAGTGTGTATGCTTTTACGTTTGTTTTGTCATTAATCTCAAAGCTTGAGGACGACAGGGAAATTAATAAAGAAATAAAAAAGAGGATATACCTGCACACCGGCTCATGCACACTGTTAGGTTTTTGGTTGGTTGGATTGGGCGGTTTATTGTGGCATCAATATCTTAATATCTGTTGTTTCCTAATTGTTTAGCTGATGAATAGACCAGCAAAAATCAAAAGACAGAAAAGAATTAGGGAGGCAGATGAGGGTTGGGGAGACCAATTCTGTAAATACAGCATCCATGGTTTTTTTGGGGGGAGGAGTCTTCCTGTATTGTACTCTTCTGACAGTTTTTGTTGTTCTCATCTTATTTCTTGTTCTTGTGTGTAACTGCTTTATCATTTCTACTTTTTCCTGCTTTTCCCCTACTTTCGTCCTTCAAATGATGTATATTTCCTGACTTCTCATTGCTGCTTCCTATTTGCTTATATTACATTAGACACATTAGATAGGTAGAGTGCGAAAAATATAAAGTCATTACGTGTAATGGAAATGTGACGTGATTTGCTGAGAGTGAGCTAGGCAGAGGCTGACGGTATCAACCCATGGATCTCTTATGAAGAAAGTTATACTGAAGGCAACGATGGGAAGGATAATCATAATTCAAGATATCCCCATTTCTTCATATCTGAAAGGATCAAAAGAAAGTATAAAAGTTAATATTTGAACAATTATACTGGTGTTTTCGATTTTCAAAAATCCTTCTATTCAAGAATTTTGCCCAGGATGTTCTTTGTCGACAAGATACATAACAACCGTAAATGAACGGTATTTTCCCTTCCACTGCGAATCTAAAATAGCCACAAGAAGGGCAGGCCATACATCCCGCATCGCTGCCAGTTCCATCAGCTCTCCTTCCTTTGAAATCGGAAGATCCAAATCCAGGCACAGAATCTAAATCATCAATCTCTCGACGTTATTTTTCAGAGTCTGAATCTGCGCATTCAAATCGCTGGCTTCATTGGTCGTGATGCTAGCGGCGATGACGGAACGACTGACTCCGCACGCACGTCCAAGAGCCATCTTGCTGGGCACGTACACATATGGCACGTTCTTATCCTCAGCAAGCAGGGGGAGGTGGAGGAGAATCGCGAGGGGAGTCGTGTCTACAAGAACAACAGAAATGATTAGTTGGGACTTCTTCCAAAGCGGAGATTTCCAGAATGGGCGACGGGATGGTCAAGCCTATCTTACCAGCAGCAAGAATGACAATTTCGGAGGTGCCGCGGTTGAGCGTCTTGGTGGCCTCGTTGGCGCCTTTCTTAAGCTGTCGATAGTGGGAGGCCTGCTGGACGAGATCCAGGATTGTCTGGGTCATGGCTTGGTCCGCAAGTGGCCATGCTAGAAATTTGAAATATCTGTCAGTATAAAGTATCCCGGAACACGGTGGCATCGGAAAGAGGTGATGTTGGAGCTGGATCACATACCAGCATTGGTCTGGTCAGACATGACGGCTGGTGTCCTGGGCAAAAGAGGAACAAGGATATATGGAATGGTTTGTTTGTTAAAGGGTTCACGGCCAGGAGGTCTTTGCGCAGTGGGATGGCTCGCCCTTTGAGAGTGTGGGGTATTTTCTTGATTGAGGCAGCGGTTGGAAGACTGATGATTTGATATGAAGCACAAAATTTCCCAGGAGGTTTAGTTGGATTGGTCTTCCGGGGCGACTATTTTCCGGAGCCGACACCAAGAGCTAAGCGGGAACTCTAAAACCTTATTTCAACGGCGGACCCAGAGTTGGGCCTTGGCGCTCGGAAGACAAACAAACATGAACCCAAGGCTGCATGCATACCATAGTCAAGCAAAGATCTGGATTCTCCTCAATGGCTTCTTTCGTGCCAGGCCTGCATTGGCTGGTGAGCCAGGTTCATAATCACACTGGCACGATTATAAATAACCAAGTAGAGAGTCTTGGAGGATAACGTTGTTGTGTGTAAACTAGCTAGCCGAGATTAAATTTTATATGTATAGTTATAGAGAGGCACATGATTAGGATAGCCGCTGTATCCACTAACAGCCCATGGTGCGGCCACTCAACTAAGCTCTGCTACCACACGTCGCTAGCTCAGCTCAAATCCATCAAATCCGCAGGTGTAAATTTGGTGAAGGCCATTCATCCCAGCCACAAATCCGAACAATATGGTCCTGGCAGCATTAAAGAAGAATCTGTGGTGACTGGGATCTATTTACATGCTGGATTTGACTCATCATCTCAATTCCCTTTTTCCACATCTCTCTGTTGAAATCTTTGTCAAGGCCTCTGACAAGCATACCGAGCGTCAGTGCGAACATCCCAGAGGTGAGTCACAACTGAAAAAGCGCCCTTGCCCAGCGTTCTTTGCTTCAGTAGAATGCGACCTGGTTTAGGGCTTTGTGTTCTGCTGTGACAGCTGTTGACCTTGTACTATCCATGCCAAGTCGGCCGAAAGGTAGCTCGCCATTTTCGGCTGTTTCCGTGCGGAATTGCCTTGACATCCTTTACGTATTGATCCAGATGGTCCTTGTGGTCCTGTTCCTAGGGACAGCGATCTGAAATTCGAGACTTTCATGGAATTAAATAACGATCTCTCCAATCTTGTTATCTGGCACTTCATTCTCGCCAAGAATCTATGTAAAGTTGCGGCTCCTCCTTCCTCTTTTCCCATCATATTTAACGATGGCGCCGTGAGTGGAGTAGTCTTGCAAGATCAGTCAGTCGGTTCTGGTTATCAAATGTAAGGTAACAGTGGCATCGGTTGATTTGCCCCTTCACATCCTGCAGGACGATGTAACATTTGTCTCAAAGTATTCCAAGGGTAAAACCTTTCGGTCCGTAGTTGAACGTCAATCGGAGACCATTCTCATAGGGGCATGCCGGAAGCTCCTTCTTGGTGTCGTTCTCCTCCAGTGTGACTGTCGACTCTCGGCTCCGGTGGCCTAGGTGTCTCTGCTGCTCTGACTGGCGCTGCTGGGGAACAAACCACGAAATGTTCTGGGCAACTTTTTTGCGGGCTGGGGGGTTCCTCATCCTCCTTTTCCTTCTTCTCCCTCTTGTAGGTTGTGTCACTATCTATATACGGATATAAGCAACGATCATGTTCGTGTTTGCGATCGTAAAAACAAGGACTCATTTCACAATAAAACAAGAGAGTGGGGTGGGACAGCAACACAGGCGAGGGAGAAATGCCGCAGCCTTTATGAGGAGGCATCCACCCATGGCAGTGGGCAAGCCCCATGTTTCTCCTGGCAAGCATTGCCTAGAGGTTCCTTATTGGCCTGCTTAGTTGCAACAACAAAGGCTGCTGGAGGCAGAATCGTAACTGGACAGGGCAGTGAATGAGTGCGATGCAGTCAGAAGACGGCACAAATCTTATAAATGAGTTGCTGGGGCTTCAGTGAACAGGAGTTGAAGCTATCCAACGACACGATTGTAAAACCATTCCGATGGAGTTGTTTGAAGTAGCAGACTGAAGCCTGATTGCACCGACGTCCCCGCTAACTCCCAAGATGGTGGAAGTCGTAAACATCGGAACAACGACATAATTGACGGGGAGCAGTCATTCAAGCAGTCGAGGCATGCCAGTCGAAAACCGGGTCTCTGCACGACATCAAAACCTGTAAAAACAACAGACCAAACTGGGGTCCAGTTGACCGCAAGGGGGCAAGGACTATAAGACACGCCTTGTCAACACCTTCTTCCCCTCACAGCTGGAAGTAGGTTAAAAATTGTCGTGCTCTCGAACCGGTCCGAACGTCAAAGGCATCATCACCTCATCGAGTATACTGACGTCAGCACACTCCTGGTAGGCAATCCATCTCAACACAGGGAGGTTCTAGAGGTTTAATGTAACGGGGAGAACCAGTTGACAAGCAGAAACCAGCGGCCGATACAAACTGCCACGCAGCAGCCAGAGGATCAAGGACATGATGGAAAAGGGAAAGATTGCGCCCACAGATATGCAGCAAATACCAACACAGACAATATCTCTTTTGTACGCGTTGTGAAAACTGATTTCTCTCATTCTCGGAGATCACAATATAACCTTGAGTTGTCAAATTGAAGAAAACCGTCCACCTGATTAGATACGTTAGGATGAAAATAACGAAAATGACGAAGGGTGCCTAATTTGAGTTTCGACCACCCACATCCAATAACAATAACCATTTCTAGAACTGCTATTTGATACGTCCTTTTGCGTTGGAGGCAATACCCTACTTTGAGGCCAGCACAAGTTTCGTAGTCGACATATGTGAGCCTCCAAGTCCGATATTGCATAGAGGTGTGGACGTCGCGATGAGAAGTCCCATTTTCATCTCCGGCATTTGCAAGCAACACGTTCAGGGGAACCTCCGATGTTCCGCCCTGGAGAATCAGGTATATCGGCCAATGGTTCCTGCTTTTATCTCAACCAGCCAGATCCATGGTGCAAACCATAAATCTAGCCTTACCGACAATCTGCTCGTCGACATCCATTGTACTAATTCAAAGGACGGTTGTGGTGTAACTTGTAAGGACCAAATCGGGGAGGTTCAGCACGAGCGCCTCACTGGTTAACTAATTAACAAATGGACGACGCCAGCATCCTCATTGGTTCGATTTAATCACTGTCAAATGCGGAGACGAAAGGAGCCTTCACTGGCTAATCAGAACATGGCACAAGTTGTTCGACAACGCCTCGCCGTTCTGAAAACCGCCCGGGGGGCGAGGCCTTTGCATTGCCTCAAGCGCTGTCTGCTACTCGAAGCCTGACCGGACGACGACGTACTACAGCAATCATATTTCATCATATCTATTGCCAAATTTATTACAGCTATTGACAGTAACTATTCCATGACACCGGCAGCAAACAATTTGAGTCATAAGGATTATACGATCGCATGGATATGTGCGCTCCCCTCTGGAACTCGCCGTTGCCGAGCAGATGCTGGATGAGAGACATCCAGACCTACCAACTAGCCAAAATGATGACAACACCTATATTCTGGGGAGAATATGCCCTCATAATGTCGTAATCCTGTGCCTCCCATCAGGTATCTATGGCACGACCGCAGCAACGGCCTTGGTTACTCAAATGAGGTCCAGTTTCGGGGCAATACGCTTTGGCCTGATGGTTGGCATAGGAGGAGGAGTGCCCTGCAAGGGATTCGATATTCGACTGGGTGATATAGTGGTTAGCAAAACCTACAAGGGAATTTGGAGGAGTGATACAGTATGACTACGGCAAGACAGTCCAAGACGGACGGTTTGAACGTTTGGGATTATTGAATAAGCCTCCACCAGTACTTTTGACGGCTGTCGCTCGACTGCAAGCTGCGCATAAATTGAGACCAAGTCAAATACCGACCATCCTTTCTGAAATTGCTGATAGCAATCCATTTTTGAGTCACATCTTGGAGCATCCCGGTGAGAACGTGGCGGATCTTTTGTTTGAATCCGACTATGAACACTGTGAGGCTCTAAATATCTGCCACGACTGTGACTCCAGCAGATTAGTGAAACGCATTCCCCGAGATGGACAGAGCCCCGTTATCCACTATGGCCTCATTGCGTCTGGTAACCAGGTGATGAAGCATGGACGGACAAGAGACAAATTAGCTCAAGAGCTCGGCGTTCTCTGTTTTGAAATGGAGGCGGCAGGTCTAATGGATGTAATTCCATGCCTAGTGATTCGAGGAATTTGCGATTACTCAGATTTCCATAAAAACAAGAAATGGCAAGAATATGCCGCAGCGATAGCGGCAGCATACGCCAGAGAACTCCTCTCCGTCGTCCACGCTGTCCAGGTTATGTATGAACCAACAGTCGGTTCATCAAATGATAGTAAGTTGCCCGTCCTCAAACAGGTATCACGCCACATTATGTAGGCTGACGAAGGACGATTGCTAGTTTATCACTACAAGAACAAGGGCCTTCGCGATATGAAATGGTCACAGAGCCTAACAGTTCGCCAAGAACGTGAGGGTACCTTTTGTAGATATATTGCACCCAAAAAGCGGGAGCTGACATGTTGCAGGGGACCAACTTCACGATTGGCTCTTCGACCGATTGTCGGATTACGATCACAATAAAGTTCATCGAAGGCTTTTGTCATAAAAGACTTCTAGGCACCACTGTATGGTTCCTAGACCACCCGGATTTCCAAGAGTGGTCTACTGGAAACACTGTGTCCAGTCTATGGTGGTCTGGGAAGAGTAAGATCATGTTTGTTCGCGCCCATACTTAATTTCAATATTGATATGTAATCGTTCGTTAGTTGGCTCCGACAAAACCGTGATAGCGTAAGTTCTTGAATGTCTATATGTCTCTTCTGGAAAATACTGACAGGGAATAGAACTTCTGTGATAGAAAATATGAAATATCGTTCTTCTGGTCCCCGCTCTACAATAGTCTTCTTCTATTGCGAGAATGGGCACCAGGAGTCTTTGCAGGCATCATACATTGTGTCTAGTTTTATCAAACAGCTGTGCGAGCACCTCCGTTCTATGTCCCAACCCTTGCCAAAAAATATCGTTCAAGATATCAACAGGTTCTTTGGACAGAAGTGAACTGTGCCCGACTTTAACGATCTGGAAAGTATTTTTGTTCACCTATTTCAATATGCCCATGATACAACGTATATCTTGGATGGATTTGATGCGCTTGACGAGACAAATTGCGTAAGGATTTTGAAGCTTCTTCGATCATTGTTCTCCGACTCCAGCATGCGGCACGGTTCTAAATGCATGCTGCTAAGCAGGGAGCAAATCCCAGGGTTCACGAACATCTCTACGCTAATTCCGGGAATTCGTCAGATATCAACATCTTCCAATGTTATGCAAGATATTCAGACATATATCGAAACGACTATCGCTGACAAGACGATGTTCAGAAAACTTACAGACGATCCTACATTGATAGATGGGATTAAAGAAGTCCTGTTAAAAGAGTCCTCTGGAATGTATGATCCTGGCACCCAAGTCTCTCTGCCTTTTCTACGTGTGCATACACTAATCTGTACTTTAATAGGTTCCTCTGGGTTTATCTCCAGCTGGAGATTCTATGGGAAACATGTTTCACAGATGCTCAAATACGATTGGCATTGAAGCAACTTCCCAAGGACTTGAAAGAGACATATCATCGTTGTGCTGAGAGAATAATCACCCAGGTCGACATCGCACTAAGAGTGCTTAAATGGGTCAGCTTTGCAACCAGGCCACTCAGTGTTGAGGAACTGAGGGAAGCAGTGGCGTTTTCTCCGTCGGACACTAGCTGGGACCCGGAGAAATTACCGCAGCGGGACTTCATTGCTGGGTGTTGTGCAAATCTCGTGGTAGTTGACCCGATTGATGGCCGCGTATGCTTTGCGCATCCCTCAGTAAAACAATATCTAGAAGGCGATCGAGGGCGTTTTAGCGAAGGGCTACCCTGTCACTGCAAAACTAGGGGAGGTAGAATGTGGAGAATATTGTGTGGCTTATCTTTCATTCTCCGACTTCGCCCTCCAGCTAGACAAGTGCAAGAACGGAACTGTAAAGGTCACGGTTCCCTCCCCGGCATCTTTCATCGATGAAGTTCTCGGTTCGTCGTTTATCAAGCCTTTCCTCCGAGCGCCGCGACTTCAAAAACCCTCTGTTTCTCTGAGCATCCCAAAGACACACCCAGTCACGGCGGCTGATCGGACGAAATATAAATTCCTCGATTATGCCATTGCTAATTGGGCTATCCAAACCAAACACATGACACACTAAACCACCAAATCATCTTCCTGGGAAAACTTTGAGCAACTTGCAACAAATTCTAGTGAAACCTGGAATTTCCACCCTTGGATGTCAGGTGGCCGTTCATTAAGGTCCCGTCTACGTGGCCTCTTGGGGTGGGCAGTTAAAGAACAACACGAACCTCTTTTATTAATTGCTCTAAAATCGAAAGAGGATTTGGAGGCTATCTGCGATCTGCCACTAATTAACGAAAAGCTTCCTGCGCTCCACCTTGCATCGAAACTTGGTTATTATGCAATGGTTAAATTGCTATTGGAAGTTTGTAACGTAAACACGCTAGATGCAGAGGGGAATACTGCCCTGCACTACGCTGCTACCAAAGGCCATATCGGTATCGTGGGGATAATTTCATTCCGAAAGGGATCGAAACTAGCCATCCCATCGGCGGCTGGGCACACACCGCTCTGGTTAGCTGCCAGCAACGGATTTGAGAATATTGTGTCGATGCTAATTCGAGCACGGCCCAACGATGTGGAATTCAAAAGAGCGAATCTGCATGCGTCGCTCACACCGCTCGCAGAGAGTGCCAAAAACGGGCATTATGCGGTAGTGGAAGTGCTTCTGGCATATGGCGCTAGCGTGGATGTTAAGGACCTTTCTGGTAAAACAGCCCTATCCTGGGCTGCGGTGATGGGACACGAGGTGGTAGTGAAGATACTGCTTAAACACGGCGCAGATCCTGACCATAGAGATCAGAACTTTTCCACCCCACTATCATATGCTGCTGCTTTGGCAAAGAGGCAGCAGGCAATTATGAAACTGCTGCTTGAAAAGAGTGTTGATCCAGACTGTGAGGATATATCTCGTCGCACGCCCTTAGCGATTGCTGCTTCTTCAAGAAAGGAGCCGGAGGCTGTTGTGAAACTTCTACTTGACAGAGGTGCGCGCCCTTGTCATAAGGATGTCGATGGCCGTTCACCCCTATCGAGGGCTGCAATGAGCGGGCATGACAGGTCTGTGAAATTGATGCTTGAAGGGGATTTTGACTGTGATGAGAAAGATAAAGGTGGCCGCACACCACTAGCATGGGCTTCATTTCATGGACATGAGAAGGTAGTAGAATTGCTGCTTACAAGGGGGGCAGACCCCGATAACAAAGATCACAATGGACGTACGCCCGTATCAAAGGCTGCGAAAAGGGGCCATGTGGGCGTTGTGAAGCTCCTGCTTGAAAGCCGCATCAACCCTCTCAATTACTCCAAGCATCACGATGAATACACGCCTCTTTCATATGCTACACGAAACGGACATGTGGAGGTAATGAAACTTCTCCTTGAGAAAGGCCAGTATGGATGTAAGAAAATGCCAAAGCAGGACGTCTTTTGTTATGCTTCAGAAGAAGGTCTTGTGCTGCTGGTGAAGATATTGCTTGGAATTGGGGGTTGATCCTAATGGAGTAGCCCAAGATGGTTCTAGGGCCTTGTCCAGGGCATTGGGGACAGGACAAGGAGAAATAGCAAATCTGCTACTTCACTTCGGTGCATCCATGCATTTTCTCGCAGACCCAGGAAAATATTCGGCTCGTTGAGTTTTGGAGTGAGCTCCCGTCCTGCCTGAGTTGGGAAAATAATGGCCACCCAAATGGTGCCTATTGTTGTGGGTTACCAGGAATATTTTGTATAAAATAAAAAAAACCCCATATCGACCATATCTGTATATATGAGAGTTTCCTTGACCTCCACAAATTTATCGACATATTATGTATATCCTATTCTGTTTTTCATTTTGTCCTTTCTCACACTTGCCTTGTCGTCAGTTTTACAGGGCCGCGTATGAATGAAGATAGTCGCTTTCTGAAAAATCCCGATCATGTAAATGCAAGTGAATGGAAATAATGAACCGGATGAATATTCATTTTACTACTTTCACATAAAAAAAAAAAGGGATTGCTTATTAGATATAACGGCAAAGGGAAAAACAAAAGAAACATTGATACAGAAGTACGACACCGATATTGGATATCAAGGGTAAAAAAGAAACAACGAAATATGACGTATTCATACAGAGTACAGCCGAAATACAGTGGCACAAAAAACCCGCTAAAAATAAATACAACAATCCGATCATACCCAGGGGTATAAAATAAAACGAGTATTCCGCATGAAGAAAACAAAGTAAATGCGGGGGAAGATGAAGATGAACTGAGGACACAACGAAGAAACCAGAAGGGAGGATGAAAGGGACAGGAAGTTGATTCTGTTTATTAGAAATCGTCAAGGGAGTAATGGGTTGTTATATAGTTGGCGGGATTTAGATCTCGATATACCTGTAGGCGGCGGAAGGTAGATATTATTTGTGTGGTTGTGGTGAGTGGTATATAGAGGGAGGGAAGGATGGGATGATCCATTTTCCTATCGGTGCCCGCGAAACCAGGGTTGAGAAAGTGCAAAAGGATTTCGATATGACAGGTTACTTTTCACCACAGATTTAGCATCTTGAGGATATCATGTCGATGAAAGTATGAGCGGTTGCGTTTGCCAAAGATGTCTGTTTGCATAATTTAGCTCAATGCGGCCACATTTGTATGGACAGATAAAGGGGAAATGAGAATATGAAACAAAACGTACACATGGGTATACTCAATAAACACACACAAACCTGAACACTACCTATGGTGAGGAAAACCGTTCTCGGATTCGCGAGAACAACCCAGTTGTAGGCGAAGTATGTCAGGATGAAGCTGAACATGTTTTTAAAGACGAGAAGGCAGGTGAAGGCTTCGACGGCGATTTGGCCTGTGCATTCATGCGTTAGTCAATGCTCGTACAATGCACATGGAATGGTGGAAAAAGGCGAATAGGAAAAAAAGAGAGAAAAAAGAAACACATACGATGCGCGTCAACAACATACAACGCACTTGCCACAGCCCCCATGACCATCCCCACAATGATAAACGCAAAAAACACATCTGGAACCACATATCCATACTTCACCACATCCGACGAAGCGAACGCAAATCCATAGAGCCCAATGCAGCTAAACACAAGCTGGAACAGGACCAGCACGATTCGAAACTCAGGCTCGTACACGCCCTTATTTAGCTTTATGAGCAGTTTGGCGCTCCAGTCCGACAGGAGGCCGGAGAGGAGGAGGCCGCATATGGAGCCGACGAAGGCGCCAGTGTAGAGGTAGCCGGTTTCGACTTCTGTGAACCAGAGTGGGGGGCCAAGGAAGATTGCGGCGAGGACGACGCCGATGAAGACTGTCCAACCGATTAGGACGCCTTGGATTAGACAGGCCTGGGAGGGGGTTAGTTGTGGGAATAATGGACATGGATTGGGAACCCGGGGACAGGTGGAGTCGAGCAGGGGCGGGGATGTAGTGGGGATGGAAGATGGCGGGGAATAAGGTTATATAATAAATACTCACCCATAGGATTCCCGGGTGGAGGAACAGGGGTATTGGGCGAAGGAGGAGTTTCCAATAACTCTCGTCTGTCTTGCGGCCGTTGAAGGGTTTCAGGGTTTGCCAGTATGTGGTCTTAGATGGGGTATTGGGGGCTGCTGTTGCTCTTTCAGCATCAGCAATTCCTATGGTATTGCTGATGATGTCATCATCTTTGGCCTCTTGTTCTCGATTTTGTTCTTGCTCCGGCTGTTTGTCTTGTTCATGTTCCTCTTTCGACTCGTCCCCGGACTGTGGGGTCGCTGACATTGTCGTTGTCGACAGGCCAATGGCAGCTTCTTTACAACCCGCATCATGTTCTGCAGGTATTTCAACAGCAGCTGTGTCAGGGGAAGAAGTCTCAGTCTCAGGAGGGGGCGCGTTTGCCGCAGCACTCGTGGAAGTCTCTTTAGGCACTCTTGTCCATGAAGTCTCCCCCTCGATATCCGTATTAAAGTGGTCAGGTCTCCTGAAAGCCGTTTCAGGCACAAAAAAGACGAGAAATGGCAGACAGACGCCAGAGAAGATGGCAAGAAAATAAAACGACCATTCCCAGCCCAGTGAAGCGGTGAGTTTCCCGACGATGACGGGGGTTAGGAAGCAGCCGCCGAATAGGGCTACGTTGGACAGTGCCATGCGTTTGCCGCGTTCCTGGTGTCGTTAGTATATATATATATATATATATATATATATATATTGCATGTAGATGCAACTCAAACAGCAATCCGAGGGAAGAACATTTTTGCATACATGCACATAAAACAAGTCCCCAACGCTCGCATTAACCAACGCCTCAAACGGCGCCAACCCGATGCCCTGAAAAATCCTCGCCCACAGCAGACTCGTATAGGACCTGCGACTAGCCCCTCCCCACGCGGAGCTGACTATCATAATCACACATCCGAGCAGGTATAGATGGCGTTTCCCCCATACCCGTGCAGAGGGGACGAAGAGCAAACCGGCCACACCCACGCCACAGAGATGATATCCCGTCAGCAGGGCTGCTTTCGTGAAGCTAACTCTGAAGCCAATGGCGATGGTTGCGGTGTTCGCAGCCAGCAGGGGGCTGGTTGTTGCGCAAAGGACAGAGACGAGGGAGAGGATTGCGAGGATAGTGTCGCGCTTGTGGAGGGGCCAGTTCTGCATTTGCATCAGTAATTTGGTAGTTATTGGTATAATGGCGAAGGGGGAAAACATTATTTATTTACCAAGGGGTCATTTGGGTCATCGCTGGGTTGAGGGACGAGGATGATGGGGACGGGACCTGAGCGGTCGTATTTGAGGGTTGGGGATGGGCTGAGCTGTGCTGACATGCTGCTGTCATCGTCGAGGATAAAGGAGGTTCCTGGAAATTAGGTTTAGTATATTATTTAGCTATCGGTATACAGAGTTTATTTGTTCACCTGGGACGTGCTCGTGGCGGGAATCCTCCAGGATCCCAAGGCCCATGGTTGCGGTGCGGCTTAGGTTCTTTTTGTAGGGATGGCAGATGTGGAAAAAGAGAAGAAACGTGAGGGTCACCGCAGGAATAGGCTTCCTCCCCTTGGCCTGGGAGGTTGCCTGGGAGATTGCCTGGGAGGTTTGGCTGATTGGGGGGTCACAGAATCTCACTGGATCGAGATCGGGCCGTGTTGTGGGGCCGTGTCTACGGACCGTGTTTAGGGGGGTGGGGGGGCGCAACCAGAGGTAAAGAAGATCAGAGAGATTCAAGTGCAGTTGATAATATAGGATCGGACTCGGTAGAGTAATGGTTGTGTACAGGAGATGCAAATTTTTCGTTGTGTGCTGGAGGATATCTGCAGCCGGTTCTCCTTGGAGATCTTCTACATTTCTGAGCGTAGCTCACTCAACGAACTGAATATTGGGCTTGAGGTGGCTGGCCAATGGGATTGATCTCTAATGAAGTTGTTTTGCGAGAGGATATCAGCTACAGTTCGAGTTATTGGGCCTTGATAAAACTCACCCGACAGATGATAATTGCTGTATTCCTCACGGGCACAACGGGCTCTAGGGCATGAAACCCAGTCGACGCCCTCAGACATAGTTTTCTTCACAACCAGAGCCCGAGGATTTATTTATTCTACTTGCTTGACCCTGTTTCCCCTCCTTTCTCAAGCCGAATCCCGACTGGCGTTGCATTGCATTGCATTCCATCTCTTGCAGTTAGCTGGCATTATATCATATCATATCATTAATTGACTCTTAGAACTCCTCTATAGAGTAACAAACTATATTGATAAAAGCGGTTCCTGTTGCGGGAGAACTTGAGCGGAGGTAGTTAGAGCTCTCTTATGTTGTTCTGATCATCTCCAACCCAAATAACTTGTGAAGGGCTACTTATTTCAACTTGACTTTCTTAGTGACTCGCTCGGAATATTTGCCCATGGCTCTATTTGAAAAAGATCTGGACAAGAATATGATCCTGGTAGATGTGCTTTCTGCATCACGGCTGAAAATCCCGAGCATATTTTCATAAGCGAATAAACGCAACAGAATAGAACTTTTGAAATATATATATATATATATATATATATATAATAACAAATAATTATGCTTTTCTACACTGGATTAGATAAAACCTTTGATTGATTCTATATTAATTGAAACTGAAGTGACGAATATCAGAATTACTGAATGTATCATATCATTCCCCTGGATATTATTTTAATCCTCTACCTATATTCAATATACTATCAACATATCAGTTACCTTTATTAGTGTAAGATTTTCATAAAAGTTAATCTATTTTTAATTTACTAAATTATATGATATCCTTGATTTCTCTAATTTATAACTAGCTCATATGCTCAGAGCCTCCATTTGCTGGGTGTTGCCCAGTCCCGCATGAAAACCCGTGGGTGATGGACGCCTCAGGAACCAGTGCGGAAGAGCAGCAAGATCATGAAAGAAAGAAGGGAAAAAAAAAAAAAACAAAAACCTGCAAGGGAAGAAGCGAAAATAGAAACAATGGTGAAAACCAGCCTGCCGCACCGAGTTGCCGATCGGACGATGGGACAATCACCATCGAGAGCCGAGAAACCGTTGGAGCAACACTCCAACCTCCGACTGTCCAGGCTTGGGCCAGGGCCTTCGGGACGGGGCGTTATGCGACTTCGCGGGTGCAAGGGGGAAAACGGGGGAGGGGGTGGGCCGGCTAACGCAACATCATCCCCGCGGGGGCGAGGGAGATGGGACGATGGAGAAAGAGGAACAACGAAAAAGAGCGTCGTCGTTGAAGAGAGAGCGAGGTCGGGTTTTTATATAGATCGAGCAGTGTGAGATGCTGCAAAAGCGGCGAGGCGGGCGCTATCCCCGAGGCGGGCAACGGCCATGCCTCAACGGGCAGAGTGGACAGGCACAGGCACTAAAAGATGCCCACCTTCTGGTAGTTACCAGGTCGTTGTAGTTGATTGATTACATTAAATACCGCCTGCATCTTGTCTTCGTTGGCTATATCACGCGTTGATGATATGGGCGTTGCGATGGTAAGCGAGCAAAAATGGTCTAAATCAAAATGATGATCAATGTCGCCCATCCGAGGCAATGGTTTATCTTATCCGACTAACTAGACATGAACATGATATGATAGCTGGAACGGTATATCAAACACTCCCGAGAGCTCAGGGAAGGACCCAGGCATCTCAATGAGGGGAAACGGGTGGCTATGATCCCTGTGTCTTGGTTGACATCGCAACTCAGGGGCGGACACGACTCTCCTTGGGACAGTTATATTTGTTCAGATGGACAAAAGGATCATGTGGAATAAAAGATGCATCCATCCATTGGGGGGAGATTTTTACGCGAATTGCGGGGTTGAAAAGGGGCTTGATGGTTCGAAGCGGAGATGAACAGTGTACAGAGAGTATTTTTCGCACCGCCAGAGCGGATTTTAGGACCCTAAAAAATCATTCGCATATTATTGACAAGGATATGTTTAGGCCTCGGCGAAATAAGGGAAAACTGGTGATCGTTGATCTCGTGGTGGAGGTCGAAGCGGGAGATGATTGGTTGGTCTGAGGAGGGAGGTTTCTGCCAAATGACATCATGGCTTGAAACACGCGAGATCCCATCTCAAATAAAACAGGGCGAGTGATGGACAAAAAGAAAAGAAGGATTGTCATTTCTTTTTCAACACGGACTTTAGCCGCGTGGTGGTTTCTGCTTTTTGCTTTCCCCGCTCAGCCCATAGGGCGCAATTCTCCATAGAAGCATTGGAAATGCAAGGATGACGTTATGGCAAAAAGGAGGAGGTCTGTGGTTTTCATGTCCTGTCGAACTTCAGACAAGCCTTCTACCGTGCAGGTACCTAGGGAGTGAGTTGGCACCATGCGACCAGCAAAGAACCTTTTTGTCTAATGTATCATTCCTATCCAGCCAACTTCAAAAGGGCAGATAGCACAGGCCCAACGGACTCTGCCGTTGTCCAGAATCCGAATTTTTGCCATGACTAAAAACCAGACAGTGGTTAGCAAAATTTTTCAGTGGAGAAGCTGTCACCGGCCTCCAGAATAATAAGCAAGGGTGTAGAAGAATGAATTTGCAACAAAATCACCGATTTTCGTCTGAATGGTCCATAACACCATAGGTATCGCCCTGTCCTTGTCAGACAATTGATAGAGTTAGTGTGATAACAAGCTGATTCAAACTGAGGTGATATGGTTTAAAAGAAATCAGGGTTGCTCCCAGCAGAATGGAGCATGAAGCGCTCATTCTATAAGCAAGGAATGTGATCTTGCTCAGGAAAACTGACTGTTCAAATATGACAATACTTCCCAAGTAAAGGTTTTAACCAAATGGTAGGCGCAGTTTAGTGGGTCGATCTCTAAAGCTGGGCTGCTCCCCTACCAATCGAATTACCTGTACCCTGTACGTACTGCCCAAGTACATTACAACCACCACTGCACGCTAAGGGAGAGCGGTGCAGCGGTATTGTCCTGTAACTAATCCAGGATGCCGTGGAGATCGCTCTTGGGCTGGGCAGGCAGACAAAAATCTCTCATACGGGGCAAGCAATCACTCAGAGCTCTTCTCCTCAGCTTCGCCTCCGTGCATGCTCACCTCGTTCAGGTTAGATGGAAGCGCGTGATTATTTTGCAAGCTGTTAGCTAATTAGGTATAATACACACGCCTGGCAATAAGGTGGGAGGGGTTCTCCCTGTTTCAACCGATGGGTTCATCTCCTCATTCATCGATGATCCACCCGCGCATGAAGATAAGAAACGAAAGAAAAAGCGGCACAAATCAGCGGATCCTGCAGAGATGTCTGATTTTTTTTTTTTTTTTTTTTTTTTTTTTTTTTTTTTTCCTGATTTCTAGACTCCTGTCCTCCGTACTTAATCTCAGGTTTCATGTTGTGCTCCACTCTTCCTGTGTCAAATATTATTTGGGAGCCGGCGGCGGGCAATGGCATGTTCTTTGTTCTTCCAGTCAAGTTTAAAATAGCGGTTTAAGAATCTGCACTGTCACTTCCCGTCATGCTCGATGTTGTTCCACAGATAAGTTAAGAAAAAAAAAAAAAAAAAACACAGCTACCCAAGATGTTTCGTCAGCCAGAGGTGGTAGGCAAATTAGCAAATAAGTTAGATAGTACGGCAACAGGGATACCGAGAAAGCAAGTGTAAAAGAAAGAAAGAAAGAAATCTCAATCCCCCTGGCAGACGATGACAAAGATGGAATCAGAAGCAACGATAAAGTATTTCATTTCAATTGAAACTCTCTGAAACGAGCCCGCGTCTCGCGCGCTTGGCACTTGTTAGAAATGACAAGATGAGAAGAAAGTGCCTCAGGCAAATCATCCATGCATTATTGACTTCCGGGATTTGGATGCAACGAATCTTTAACAAGAGCCGGGAATCTTGGTAGGTTTATCGCTTAGCGAGCTGGAAAGGCGGCGGGCCGAAATTTCCCCTTAATTGAGTTTTCGTGTCGATAACTGCCTTTTGATCCAACTACGAGAAAGAATACAGTGAAAAATTAACTAATGGGTGAGATAGCAGTTTGGTTCAACAAATTGAAACTAACTAACTGGTTCGATCAAGATTAATAATCTCCCTGAGAGAGACATTTGATGCCGTAGTCCCGTTTTTATAGGTTGAAGGCAGCGAATTGTCATTACTGAGACAGAGACCGTGTCTGATAATGCCTGTTGTTCAAAGGACCCGGCCAAGCCGACATCCGGGAAACTCTCTTCCAATCGGCGCTAGTGTTATTTATTTGTTTTGTTTATTTTGTTTCGTGCATACGCAGTGACTTTTAAGCTTATTGCAGAGTTGGTTTTATCTAAAATGGGACATCCCGGTTCTCCAGACGCTGGGCAGGCGATAGCATATTGTTTTGGTTTTGATTCAAGAATAATTAGGATCTCGCGCAGTTAATATAACGGCAAACTGTCCTATTTTTTGAAGTTCCCCCTAAAGAAAAGGACGGTGAAAAAGCTTGGCAAATGACAGTTGTGTAGAAATTTACAGTATTTTGAATGCTATTATTATTCTCCAGATTCCAAGGTTCGTTTGTTTCCGAAAGTGTTCCATAAGCCGATGTCGCGCCATATATCATGCTGCAGAGTTTTGTTTCCATTGTAAATATCAGGGTTGCACAGTTGTTCACCATCTAGACATTGCAAGAAGGGAAGCCATGCTTGGCGGCTATGCGATGGGGGGATAGATGGGGATGACCATGCTCGTTTTTATTGCTGGTTCTACTTTTCAACAACTAGCATTATGTCGAGTAACTAAATTTGGCCCCTAACTTATGGGCTGTGAATCCCAAGAATGATCGATCTTCCAGCCCGCCAGTCTGCAAACTGCACTGCACTGTGAGGCTTGGCTGTTACAGTGCTCAAGTTTAACGATTGTATGAATTGTCTTGGACCTTTCTCTGAAGAAAGCCGATCTGAAAATTCTGTTGGTCTTTACGATCTTAGGATGTTTTCTTGTCGTTGCAGCTGTGATGTTAAGTGTTGGGACTACGTGTCGGGGTCAAGGATAACGCAGTCTTTTGGCAGGAGGATTGTTTCTCCACCGTCCTTGCGGGGATGCTCGTGATACATGGATGGGAATCGTTATTTGTTGCTTCATCACGTTAAGTTAGTTAGTCCGCCGGAGGTGTGGAAATGTCATCCACATGCTTTCAACTGAGGGGTAAACCACGATACGACATACGGCGGAATACTGGTAACATTGATACTCTGCTCCGTGCTGCGGGTAGAAACTCAGAAAGAAGAAGAGGAAGAATTGCGGCGTCTCTCTCCTCTACGTAAACAAATTGCGGAGCTGGTTTATTCCGGTCATGCTTGCAAACAGGAATAGTAATCGCAGCCCGGTGATGGGTTGTTGGCAGGTTTTGTCCATGTCTTTGTCATCAGTCACTCCTGTAACTAACTAACCTAACTAACTAACTAGTTAACTAAATAACTAGTTAGTTAACTGTTAACTAACTTAGTTATCGGGTAACACTGTAACTATATAATAATGAAGTTAGCAGCCGTAGTAAGTAAGTATGTGCGTGTGTGCGTGGGTGTGTGTGAGTGTGAGTGTGTGTGAGTGTGAGTGTGAGAGTGTGAGTGTGTGTGAGTGTGAGTGTGTGTGAGTGTGTGTATGTACCGTACCGTACCAAGTTGATGCCCAAAATTCCAAGCCAAACAGAAGAGTCCACAATGGGCCAGCCTTTGCCCAAAGCAGCACCGAGTCAGGGCTCAGGGCACAGGGCTCAGGGTTCGGCTTAGTCACCCCACCTCATCCTGCCTTCAAGAACTTGCCTACTCGCCCTCTTTTTCTTCTCTTCTTCTATCATTAAATTTTCTCTTCTCACCTCTTCTATGCGTTACACCTCCGAATACAACCCTCATCAGACTTCGTTTTACCTGCAATTCTGTTACCCGTCTTCTGCTTTTTATTTGAGCCCTGTGTTTCACGGCCTCATCAGGCTTGTTGGTGAGTCGTGTCCTCGCAGTGTTCCAAGCCAAGCACAGCAGCAAAATTTGGTTGTTCTACCGCGCTCTGCTGGTGGCAACAGTGAGTCGACTTGGCGGTTCTGCCGCCTCCTGACTCTTGACCGCCCAGTCAGACAAACCTTCCTCCACATACCGAACGCTCAGAGTGCCAGCTGTTTTGGCGGTACGAACCTCGCATTACGGTACTTATTATTTATTGAAACAACTGCCCTCTTTTACTCCGCTGTCTTGGCGGTGACAGCCCTCAGCCTTGGGGTGTTGCTCATCATTCTTCCAGTCGTCCTATATAGTCGTCGACAAATTCCGGCCTCTTTTTCGTTCTCTCACGATGGCGGTCTGTCTCTTATGACAATAGCTTTGCTGGCGGGCATTCCTATGCTCTTCAAGAAAAACATAACGACACCCCAAAGGTCACACAACCATACATTTGACACTGCCCGGTTAATTCCATAACTATACGTGTGGCCCTGTATCGACCAATATCCCTTTTCCTACTTGCATTTGGGAGGCCCTTTCGATTTGATTTCTCTTTCTCATTTGCCATCCACCCTAAATTCTCACGTTGGTTTTCTTCTTTTGTTCCTCAATCACGACCTTGATCTATTTTTCGGCATCTGTTCTACAGCACGCGTTGGTAATCAGCCATGAATGCTTTATCCAAGATGTTCCGGTTATCCAACACTCCAGGTGCCCAGACGAGCGACAGCGATGAGATTTCTGCTGAGGCAGACGAACCACCAGATGATCGGAAGGGTGGACCAGTCTTGGATTTGAATAACATTGCCTTCCAACCATATGCCAAGGCAATACCCGCTCGAGTGGAGGGAAAGAAGTCTTTGCTCACCAGAGCTTTGATGAGCAGTCCTGAATCCTCACCTGTCGACCCGCCAAACCAAACTTCCCATTTTAGTGGTTTCCAGCGAAATTATACTTCTTCAGTTTATAGCAACGTCAGCGGCCCTTCAACTGCAGAACTAACCAGCGATGAAGAGACCAAAAGCCCAGCTTGGTCTCATACTCCAAGCCCACCGTTGCCGTCTGGTTTTGCTGCTGCGCCAACCACAGCCAATAATGGAATGCAATACAAAATTCCCATTGGTCCTATTAGTGAGCAGGAGTCAAAAATTGAAGCCAATCTTGGACGGAAACGCTGCATAACCTTTGCGTGTGGGCGAAACCTTGATAGCGAAGAGAAAGCTTCGAGTGAACCGGTGAAGGGGGTGGACGATCCTCCTAAACGAAAATCGATGCTTACCTTCGCTTGTCATTCGCGACCAATTGACGACAATGATACTAAAGTGGACCATTCCATCGTTTGCAGAAGCTCGATATCAGCTAGGCGTCGTGGCGTTTCCACTCTTGCTCTACGCAGGTGCAGTTCAGACTCTTCAACACGACAGAATGAGATTGATCATGAACACCTTTCAAAGAATGAATCCAGAGCTACTCCCCATGTTGCTGGCCTCGGTAAATTTGAGCACTCTGAAGCCACTCGATTTCACGAATTCGGGAGTTCATTGGAAGACGATGATTGGGTGAAGCAGGTGACGGACTACAAGGAGAAAATGACCATGAATGATTGCATGAAGAAAGAGATTGCTATCATGAAGCTTGGCGAGGAGGTGGAGGAGGAAGCCAGACAGGATGAGGAGGACGCAGAAGATGATGCAGAAGACGAAGATGGCGCTGACGATGATGAGGACGATGAGGATGAAGGATATGATGAGGACGAAGACAAAGACGAAGACGAAGACGAGGATGAGGACGCAGATGATTCCACGGTTTATGATGTTGCCTCCGACGCCGGCAATGAGACTGACAACGAAGCTGGCTTTGCGGACTCGGATGAAAGTGGCAACGAGTCAGAGGACGAATTCTGGTCCCTGAAAATGGTGACTGCTGCTACAAGTGTCGATCATTGCGACGTCGTCCAACATTTTGAGCGACAAAGTTCAAACACTTCAATCGAGTCATCGAAAGTGCGACGGGACGACAAACAATCAATGCCACCCCCAGCTCCCAAGCCTTGCCACAAGCGCCACCAGTCAATTAAGTCCCAGAAACTTCGTCGTTCCAGCACACCAAACTTGCCCGACAGCACGGATTTCGTTTGTGGAACTTTTGATGAAGACCGTCCCCTAGAAGCGGCGTATCTCTCCTGCTTAGAGGAACGTCGCCGGGCAAAACATATCCCCATTCCTCAGGACATCGACCCAAGCTTTCCCACAACAGATCCCGAAGATGAAGATGGCGACGATGACGACCAAAATGATAATCAAGATGACATTACGGAAAGGGTGAAAGCGTATGATTCGGATGGGCTTCACGGAAGACAAAAGGCAGGCAGCCGTAAAACATCTCCAAGTCACTCTCCAAAACGTCACCAGTCACCTCCGCCACGCCGCGTTCTCGGGCATTCTCCTCGATGTATGCGATCACCGCCTCCAGCAATGAGATTAAGATCCCCACCCCCAACTCGCCGCGCTTCTCTCGCCACAGCAGCGCTCCACCACCCCATTGGTATCAACATCAGCGGTCTCGCGCAGAGGCCACATCGACGCCATTCCAGGTCTCTTCCTCGCACTCCAAATCCTTTCTTCGCTCGCATGGATCGTCGTCGGTCTTCAAAAGCCACCTTGCCCTCTGCGAGCCAAGGCGGTGAACCCAACAGTCGTGACATGCACACGCGTGGACCCATCGACATCGTGGAGGGACTGGAAAAGAAGCGCCAGAAGCGAAAGGAGAAGTTTTGGCGCCAGCATTGCCGGAAAGCTGCCAAAGAAAATCTTGAGCGCAAACCTCTTCCTGGAAAGGGGGCTGAACGAATGAAAGAACTTGGACTTGAAGTTGCGGAACGTTTCAGGGCATATGGCGTTGCTCAGGGTGCCCAACAACTTGTTCTTTCGATATAATTCATATATGCAGATATCGTCATCGTCTCTCAGTTCATGATGAAGTTTCTCTCTTCCACATCCATTTTCACGAACATATTGCTGCTTGCGTTGGATATTCGTTGAAGACTTGATTAAAACTTATTTCTTACACATTTTATTTCTGTATATACCATTTTAACACGTTTACTTCGTTTAGTTTTATACCGTTGACCTTTTCCTTCTCTATATCCCTTAAGTTCCGTACAGATTTTTTAATGAGCACGATTGATCAACTCTTCAACTTGCTTATTCTTCGAACATGATATCATATGATGATGATTCCCCCCATCGTGTTTCCGCTCTGTCTGGGATATTTGATCCTTTATTACCTTTCTATCATTATTAGACTGGGGAGGGTTTGCACTCGTGCATTTCTCGCGGCCATCTGCTTTCGTTTTTAGTTTATACAACCGCCATCTTGCTGTGGCTGCTGTTGCTGTTGCTCCTGCGTAACGAGACCATGACCTGCTTTCTATCTGCTTTTGCATTGCCTCTGCTGTGCCTTTATCGACCCTGGTGCTTATCCACAGAGGCTCTCTATAGTCCAAGGAGAAGCGAAATGAAAAGGGTCAGGCACCCAACCCACGATTCCTCTGAAAGGCGCTCGTGTTTGTTTTTATCGTTTGTAGATATGGGATGCCCAGGATGTTTTTCTGTTCTATGCATATCCACGCACCCTTTTAAATACAAAAACCAAATGGAAACTGTGTGCCCAACAAGGCAAAATGTAAATCTTTTCCCCCATCGATATTCCTCCTGACGGTTGAACTCTTGTAAGATATGAGATATCGCCTGCCTCATAGTACACCAGGCTCAAACAAGTAATCCAAGCGAGTCTCTTGACTTGGCTTGGCAGCTTTTGAATCACGGGCTTGGTTAGTCAGCAGAAGGACACTTGTTGGATTATCAACTGCTGCTGATTGTGGCAGAATACGCAGGAAAGATATCGCCAATAAAACACACCAAGAAGACATATATATAAAAAAAAAAATATATTAAAAAAAATATATACATATTAACATAAAAAGCAAGGAAATCTGGAGATTTCTTATCTATCTCTCTATCTCTCCACACAGACAGACACATCCTGTCCAGTTCTCCAACGTGTTCGTTCTCAACGTTGATCCACCACATATCCGTTGCGCCAGGCTCTGCAGGAAGCTCCCCATAGCAACAACTTCAACTTCAGCTTAGAACGACCCTCTGATTCGGATTCGATTCGAACCGACCTCACCCTGGGTCGTTGATAGCTTCTCCCTCTCCGCCCCTCGCCTTGCCCTCCTCAGCTTCTCTCTCACGGTTTATTTTCGTCCTGCATAATGTGGATTATCAACTGGTGTATGTGTTTTGAATCTTTCCCCCCTCCCCCCTCCAACACACCTCTAGCATATATATACTGGTACATGTTGCTCCCAAAGACGACCAGCCGCAGTTTCTCTCATAATTTGGCTGAAGGAGAGCAAGGGGGAAAAGTAAACCAAGAATGATGGAGTGTGACATTTGTTTATTATCCGTGTGGATGCTTAAAATGCTGATGTTGCATGTTGTTTTTCCAAGTCTATGATATCCTCGCCTCCCTCGGGCTGCTGAACAAGCATGCCAAGCTCCTCTTCCTTGGTCTGGACAATGCGGGGAAAACTACACTGCTGCATATGCTGAAGGTGAGCTAGGGGTTTTTCCGTTGTCGTTTTCAATTTTGTTTATGACTGCCCGTTGCTGTTTTGCCTCGTTCTCGCTGGCTGGGCGGCTGGTTTTGGTTTTGGCTTTTGTGTGGGAGGTATACTGGCCTTATCAGGGAGGATGCTTTATGCTGGACCTGTTATCTGCAGCAGATGTTTACGTTGTAGGAATTAATTGCATTTGGCTAATGTCCGTTTGTTGCGCAAACTTATTATTATAGAATGACCGGGTCGCCATTCTGCAACCAACGGCACATCCAACATCCGAAGAACTAGCCATCGGCAACAACAGATTCACAACATTCGATCTGGGTGGCCACATGCAAGGTGAGCTATCTCACAATATCTACATACGCAACTCAATACAGAGCTCTCTAACCTCTCAAATCCCCAACAGCCCGCCGTCTCTGGAAAGATTATTTCCCTGAAGTGAGCGGCATCGTCTTTCTCATCGACGCCAAGGATCCCGAACGTTTCCCCGAGGCCAAAGCTGAACTTGACGCGCTCTTGGCTATGGAGGAGCTCTCCAAAGTCCCATTCCTCGTCCTTGGAAACAAGATTGACCACCCAGACGCTGTGCCTGAAGATGAGCTCCGGCACCAAATGGGTCTTTACCAGACTACGGGCAAGGGCAAGGTACCCTTGGAGGGCATCCGGCCAATCGAATTGTTCATGTGTAGTGTGGTTATGCGACAGGGTAGGTTAAGAGAGAAACAAAACCTCCATTTCCCCGTCAATAGTATCTGTTCATTTACTAATTTATTTCCCGCAGGCTATGGTGAAGGTATCAGATGGATGTCCCAATATGTCTAAGAACGCCCCCTAAACGTCTCACTATATCAATTATCAATCATGTCCGTTACTTCGCTCTTCAAACACCCATAAAGTCCAAAATTTTTTAGAAGAGGACTAGTTTGCCCTCACCCGTCGCATCCTAAGCCCTCTAGTGTGGAAATTGATAGTTCCGGAAGTTCCTAGTCAATCCATATCAATGCATTTTTTCAGCTCCACTCTCCACTTCACCCCTCACTCTGCTTTATGTTGATTCTTAAGCGTCAGTACAGAAATCTCTCCAAGATGCATTCTTCCCCCTCGTTTTGCAAGGTCTCACGACCCTTTCCCCTCTTCCACATTAAACAAGTTCACGACGTCATACCGTCCCAACATGTTTTATTCGTTTACCCTCTTCAAAAAGAGCTTCACATCTTCATCCGCAAGTTATTCTGATTCTTTGTTCCCATCAAATTAATCAACCAGTCAAATAAACACCCTATTTTTCTTCAGATTAATTGTTCCAAAGTTTTCATGCAGTGTTCATTCTCGTCTTCTCAGCGTGTCTGCCCATTTTCGCTTCAGCACTTTTTTCCTGCTTCCCCCGGCCTCTTGATTCTAATGTAATTTTTGACATAGCCTGCTCAACCCTACTTAGCTACCCTATCCGACATACCTTCATCTGTTTTATCTGCATTCTACCTCCTTGGACAAAAGAACGTAACTTTTCCTCTTTTGAAAAATATACAACAAGCAATAAAAAGGGAAACAAAAACCAAGCGCTTGGGTGGCTAATTTTTTTTTTTTTTTTTATGGAGTCCGTACACAGGTATATTTACAACTAGTTTTTCAGCGCCTCTCTAACAGGGGCCATATGACTCTGATATAGAGACTTGCTGGTAATTGCTATTTTTAACTGTTGCAGCTTTTGTATTCCTGCAAAATGTATTAATTCCATCGGTCCGCAGAACTTAACTCACGAATCTTGCGGACCCCGCCCTTCCTCCACGGCTCCGCTCCGCTCCACTCCACTCCCCCCAAAGTACAACTGGTTAGATACATTCCATGAAACTGCCAGAATTGAAAAGGATGTGTAGGAGACATCTGAATGCTTCAATCATGGCGATTCCTAGGACAGCTTAGCCAAAGCCCCTTCTTTTCCTGCAACTACGTACGTATCGAAAAATCACTCCTCTTCTCGCCGTGTCTAGGTTGCCTAGAACTGATATAGAAAACCGCCTCAGAAAGCTGATCAAAAATGATCAAGAATCAGCAGCCAAGGGATGAAAAAGAAGCTACCAACTTTAAAATGCCCCAATAAGGCAGTTAAAAAGTATAAACGTTCAAATAGATAGGCTACTACACATCAGATAATCAGAACCAGAACGATTGTTACGACTCGAATCAGCTGGGCTGGTCTAGATTAATTTCCGCCTCTTTTTCTCCTGAATTACAAACCTTATCAAAAATAAGAATTCGTTCCTCTCGTCTGTTTGCTACCGAGCTATAACGATGATGGCGACATTCCCCACATGACTTTTGACGCCCTCCATCCTGTCCTGCCCAGCGTAGCAAGCGGCCGCGCTCTGTTATCCTTTCTCCCCCTCGTCTCGGAACCTCCAGCAGTCCCGTGACAAAAGTCTACTCCCCTCATCTCGGATATAAAAAGCCCAACGGTTAGAAAAGGAGTCCGAAGTGGTTTAAAATAAGTTTTCTGTCACGCATTTCGGTACGAATGAGATACAGTACAGACCTTTTAAGCAAGAGAAGGCAAGAAAATCGCATCTGTTAAAAAAAGGGGAAGAAAAAGAACACAGTAGAACAAGACAAGTAAAGAAAGGAAAACAAGTGACAAAAAAAGAGACTAAGAGCAAGAACAAGTGTAATAAGGAAAGGGGAGGAAAGTAAGTAGAAGAAAACGATATATCAACCAGTTTATTCGTTCGTTCGTTGTTTTCGGCTTGACAAATAACTTCCAACTAAAGAGCGCGCCAGGTTTGGGGAAAAAAGGGATAGAGAGGAATTTGGGAGAAATAACACACAGGCACACACATACCCTTGTTGGTTCTGAGCAGAGATGGAAGTGAAGAGAAATTAAAGGAGACCAGAGCGAAAGACACAACCAAATAGAACCACTTCCTTTCCGTTAGTTGGTGAAAGGAGAAGCACGAGGAACATGAGAACAAAAAAATGAAAGGAAAGGGAACACCAGAACAAGATAAGTTCTTTCGACACGGAAGAGGTTGATCATTTGTCAGATGTATGCGATAGAAAGCAAAACAAAAGCGAAAAGAAGGGGAAGGCAAATAAATAATGAATAGATAAATAAAACCTAAACAAATTTCGAGTTGTATGAGGTCGAGGGACGTATTGCTCGGAAAGCCATCAGGGATGTATACAACACGGACAAACCGCGGGCTGCATTCGAGTCCTCGTTCCGTGTGTTGGGGGAAAGGGGGGGGGGGGCGGTGGGAGTTGATTAATTGGCGTTAACGAGGTAATGGATGGATGTAAAAATTGGCGTACATATGCTGGCGAAGATTGCTATGACGTGTGGTTTGTGTGTTGAGAAGTTTGGCTGGTCGTGTGTCGTGGAGATCCCTTCCCATTTTCTCTCTATCTATCTTTCTCTCCCTCGTTCGTGTGTGCGTGAATATCGGGGTTGTGGATATATGGTAATGATTGACTAGAGTTTTATCGCCGCCCGAACCTGCTACAAATGGAAAAGCTCGTATGATTTCTCTTCACTTCTTCTTTTGCTTCCTAGGAGGAGTAATGGGTCTGCCACTGCTCATGCCACCGTAGACGTACTTTTGTTTCTTTTCGGCTGGTTTCAAGATCTGTGGGATGGACAAAACTGCGGGTTAGTTTTTATTACTTGCATTTGGTTTAACTGCTCTTTGGCACTGGTAATAGAACCACAAAGAAGGACTGCTCCTTCTTACCTGAAATGAACATAGCAGGCTCTCGTCAACACTCATCATAGCTCCAGCATTGTCGAATTCTCCACAATAGTTGGGCGCGCTAAAGAGTGTGACTAGCTGTCGCTTCGAGAAAAATTCATAACCATCCTCAACAACCTGATGTGCACGACATATTAGGTCCATATCGTGCTTTTGTAGGAATCGTGAAACAACGTCCGGACCAAACGTGAACGACACGCCCCGATCGTTTTCGCTCCAGCCAGTTATATCCTTATCCGGATCAGACCACAAGAGATCACAGAGAAGACCGCAGTCGGGAATCTATATGGGTCAGCGGATACTGAGCCTCACGGAGCTCGGAGATTGATGTTTTGCAAGACGCCCCATGATGTACAAATGTCAAAAAATTTAGCGGAGTAGACGGGGGGAGGAAAAGAGAAAATTACTTACATCAGTAGGACGCATTACACGACGGATTTGTTCCATGGAGTTCAAATCGGGGCTGAGGCCGCCGTGCATGGTGAATATTTTCTCGTCTATGATGGCTGCGATTGGCAAACAGTTGAAGCAGTCCGTGAAGGTCTTCCACAGTTTGATGTTGTATCTCCGTTTGCACTCGTCATAGAAACCATAAATACGGTTGATAGACGCACACTCATGGTTCCCGCGGAGGATGAAAAAATTCTCTGGATATTTGATCTTGTACGCCAATAGCAGACAGATGGTCTCGAGTGATTGTTTACCTCTATCTACGTAGTCTCCAAGGAAGAGGTAGTTAGCCTCGGGGAAT